CAGTCTGGGGGCAGCCATCATCTAAACACTAAGCTCAGCAGTAGTTAGACTGACATTTCTAATACCATCTAACAGGACCAACAGCTCTAGATTTTAACAAAAGCACAGAAGTACAGCCATGGCCTTCCTGATATCATCTGCCACTACAGTTTTCTTTGCCAAAGCATGAAGTACTGTATAATGTCTTATTTTCTTACATGAATAGTGTATCATCTCTCATTTTTAAACCTCTGCAAATACAGCTCTTCAGTGACAGGCCACTAATGAACAACGACTGAAATACTGCAGCGATTTCCCCAGGGATTTTCCTTATGTAGGTTTATCATGGCATATATGCAGTCTTTCCATGGGTTGGCATGTTTGCACTAAGCAGTTACCTGGTTTTTCCCTAGTTCTCTATGGCTTACATCATGTTTTATGTTGCCTCCATATGGATTCCAAAGCTTTTACTATGACTTCACTGATCTTTACTTTCCAACACTTGTCATGATACACAACACTAAACTGTTGTACGGGCTGCTGAAGTTGAGAAAAGTTAATTGTGCACAGTCCAAAGAGCTGCTCCCCATCTTACCCAGAAGGACTTCAGTAAGTCAGAAATACTACTTTGCTTAACTTACGAGGTACTTCATGCAATAATCAATATATTGAGAATATCAAGTAGGTAGCCGTGTCAGCATGCATAGGCTGCAAAGGAACAAGTACAGGTTTATTCATGCTGAAAAGAGAACAAAACAAACGTAATGTTTGAGCTGTGGAGCCTTCTTCAGGTGGCTGAAGGCTGCACAGCCAAAACGTTACATATATTTCTTCTGTTTTCAGCATGCAATAAACCTTTACTTGATACATATCGGGAATATACCTACAGTATATAGGCTGTCTGCTTATTAGAAGCTCTTGGGAGAATATGTCCACCCTAGAACCCTAGAATATAAAAATATGGTATATTCATGAATTTCTTATATGTTATGGATATATGTTTTGTATACGATGAGACAAGTGGGGTGAACTGTCGTTTAGAATGTAAACAACACATATTTCCACTTTTTCATTCCAGCCCATTTAAAAGATTGCCTATTTCCCTTAACTCTGAGAAACCTTAACCTCTTAACTCTCCCCTTTCAGATTCATTTCAATACAGGTCAATTCTCCAACTTCCCAATATGCTTTTTCAAGCACTCCCCAGCCACCAGCATGATTGTACTGTAAGTATTCAAGTATTCTCCAAAGTGAACCATCATTTCTTTCTGATCTTGGTAAATGAATGAATAACCACTGCTTTCTCGGCTCCCTGATGTTCAAAAAGAACATTTCAGTATGTACAGTAGTTTAAAATTTCTAGGCCTGTAACCACAAAGCTTTTTGTGAAGATAAGAGTGTTCATTTTTCTTTACATTTTTAAAATTTAAAAAAATTGTGACCAACAAGATGTCCTTGCCTGGCAAAAGCTACAGTTCCTGTTTTTATGATGCACTATGTGACTGTGCTTCATTATCACAGCTCATGGCACAATGTTCCTACGTGCCATAATGTTTCCAAGGTACCATGTGGTTAAAATCCTGCCCATGCCAAGCTG